GGTGTCCCCGTGTCCCCACGGGCATCCCCGGCAGTGCCACCCACCAGCCCAGGGCCTCACGGCCTCCAGTGTGCCAGCCCTCCTGCCACCACCGCGGGCATCCCCAGGGTGTCCCCATGGTCCCAGGGTGTCCCTGTGGCCCCACGGTGTCCCCAGGGTGTCCCCATGTCCCCACGGTGTCCCCACGTTGTCCCCGGCGGTGCCACCTACCAGCCCAGGGTGCCACTGCCTCCAGTGCCCCGGCCCTCCTGCCACCAACCCGGGTGTCCCAACGTCCCCACGGTGTCCCCGTGTCCCCAGGGTGTCCCCACATTGCCCCAGGGTGTCCCCACATTGTCCCCGGCAGTGCCACCTACCAGCCCAGGGCGCTGCCACCTCGAGCACCCCAGCCCACCCGCTACTACCCCACGTGTCCCAATATCCCCAGGGTGTCCCCATGTCCCCACAGTGTCCCGGTGTCCCCACGGTGTCCCCACGGCCCCAGTGTGTCCTTAGACTGTCCCCGGCGGTGCCACCTACCAGCCCAGGGCGCTGCCACCTCCAGCACCCCAGCCCACCCGCTACTACCCCACGTGTCCCAATATCCCCAAGGTGTTCCCGTGTCCCCACGTGTCCCAATATCCCCAAGGTGTCCCCGTGTCCCCACGGTGTCCCTGTGTCCCCACGGTGTCCCCATGTCCCCAGGGTGTCCCCACATTGTCCCCGGCGGTGCCACCTACCAGCCCAGGGCGCTGCCACCTCCAGCACCCCAGCCCACCCGCTACTACCCCACGTGTCCCAATATCTCCACGGTCCCAATATCCCCCGTGTCCCCACGGTGTCCCCGTGTCCCCACGGTGTCCCCGTGTCCCCAGGGTGTCCCCACGGCCCCAGGGTGTCCCCGGCGGTGCCACCTACCAGCCCAGGGCGCCGCCGCCTCCGCTCGCTTCTTCTTCAGCGGCGGCTCCTCCTGCGGGGGCGGCGCAGGGGGGAGGTCGAGGCCGCTCGTGTGGAGGCCACCGGCGCCGTGCCCGCCGTGTGACAAGGGACAAGGACGCCATTCCCAAGGGATTCCCGGGACGGCCCCACCTGCTTGTCCCCCGCGTCCTTGGCCGCGGCCACCGGCGCCTCCTGCAGCTTCTCCGTGTACTTGAGGAGCAGCGAGTTGCCCAGGCGGGAGCCCAGGAACAGGTAGCCGGGCTCCATGGTCACCATCTGCGCGGGGTGTTGGAGGACCAGGGCGAACAGCCGCTCCTCGGCGGCCCCCCGCCCGCAACCGCTGCCGCGCGGGGACCCCGGGAACGCGTCAGGCGGAGGCGCTTGTGGGAGTGACGGGACCCCGGGAACGCGTCAGGCGGAGACGCTTGTGGGAGTG